GCACTCGAGAAGAATGAGTATTCTGTTGTTTTAGGATGGAAAGTTCTGTATATATCTACAGAGTCCATCTGATTCAATGTGTCATTCAAAGGTCTTGTTTCTTTGTTGAACCTCTGCTTAGATGATCTGTCCAATCCTGTTAGTGGAGTGTTGAAGTCGCCTAATATTAATGTATTATTATCAGTATGTTTCCTTTTATAAAAATTTATTTTATTATGTTATTTTAGTCACAATACATCATTAGTTTTTGATGTAGTGATCCATGATTCATTGTTTTCATATAACACCCAGTGCTCCATGCAATATGTGCCCTCCTTAATACTCATACTGGGCTCACCTATCCATGCTTCCCACCCCTCTAAAACCCTGTTTTTTTTCTTGGAATCCACTGTTTCTCATGGTTTGTCTCCCATATGCATTCCCCCCCCATGCTTCATTTTTTCTTTCCTTATCCTAATGTCCTCCATGCTATACCTTATGTTCCACAAATAAGTGAAACCATATGATAATTGACTTTCTCTGCTTGACCTATTTCACTTAGCATAATCTCCAGTCCCATTCATGTTGATGCAAAAGTTGGGTATTCACGCTTTCTGATGGCTGAGTAATATTCCATTGTATATATGGACCACATCTTCTTGATCCATTCATCTGTTGAAGGGCATCTCAGTTCTTTCCACAGTTTGGCTATTGTGGACATTGCTGCTATGAACATTAGGGTGCATATGGCCCTTCCTTTCACTACATCTGTGTCTTTGGGGTCAATACCCAGGAGTGCAATTGCTGGGTCATAGGGTAGCTCTATTTTTAATTTTTTGAGGAACCTCTACACTGTTTTCCAAAGTGGCTGTACCAACTTGCATTCCCACCAACAGTGTAAGAGAGTTCCCCTTTCTCCACAACCTCTCCAACATTTGTTGTTTCTTACCTTCTCGATTTTTGCCATTTTAACTGGTGTAAGGTGGTATCTCAGGATGGTTTTGATTTGAATTTCCCTGATGGCTAATGATGATGAACATTTTTTCATGTGTCTGTTAGCCATTTGTATGTCTTCTTTGGAGAAGTGTCTGTTCATGTCTTCTGCCCATTTTTTGACTTGATTATTTGTTTTTTGAGTGTTGAGTTTGAGAAATTATTTATAGATCTTGGATACCATCCCTTTATCTGTAGTGTCATTTGCAAATATCTTCTCCCATTCCGTGGGTTGCCTCTTTGTTTTCCTGACTGTTTCCTTTGCTGAGCAGAAGCTTCTTATCTTGATGATGTCCCAAAAGTTCATTTTTGCTTTTGTTTCACTAGCCTTTGGAGATGTATCTTGAAAGAAGTAGCTGTGGCTGATGTCAAAGAGGTTACTGCCTATGATTTCCTCTAGGATTTTGATGGATTCCTGTCTCACATGGAGGTCTTTCATCCATTTTGAGTTTATCTTTGTGCATGGTGTTAAAAAATGGTTGAGTTTCATTCTTCTGCATGTGGCAGTCCAATTTCCCCAGCACCATTTATTGAAGAGACTGTTTTCCATTGCATATTTTTTCCTGCTTTGTCGATTAGTTCACCATAGAGTTGAGGGTCCATATCTAGGTTCTCTATTCTCTTCCATTGGTCTATGTGTCTGTCTTTGTGCCAGTACCATGCTGCCTTGGTGATCACAGCTTTGTAATATAGCTTGAAATCGGGCAACCTGATGCCCCCAGCTTTGTTATCTTTTTCAACATTTCCATGGCGATTCGGGGTCTTTTCTGATTCCATACAAATTTTAAGATTGTTTGTTCCAGCAATTTGAAAAATGTCATTGGAATTTTGATCGGGATGGCATTGAAGTTATAGATTGCTCTGGGTAGCATAGACGTTTTAACAATGTTATTCTTCTGATACATGGGCATGGAATATTTTTCCATCTTTTGTGTCTTCTTCAATTTCTTTCATGAGTGTTCTGTAGTTCTTAGAGTATAGATTTTTACCTCTTTGGTTAGGTTTATTCCGAGGTATCTTATGGTTTTTGGTGCTATTGTAAATGGAATCCTTTCTCTAATTTCTCTTTCTACAGTTGCATTGTTAGTGTATAAGAAAGCAACTGATTTCTGTGCATTGATTTTGTATCCTGCCCCATTACTGAATTGCTGTTTGTATTCTAGTAATTTGGGGGTGTTGGAGTCTGTTGGGTTTTCCACATAAAGTATCATGTCATTTGCAAAAAGAGAGAGTTTGACTTCTTCTTTGCCAATTTGAATATCTTTTATTTCTTTTTGTTTTCTGATTGCTGTGGCTAGGACTTCTAGTACTATGTTGAACAATAGTGGCAAGAGTGGGCATCCTTGATGTGATCCTGATCTTAAGGGAAAGGTTCTCAGCTTTTCTCCACGAAGATGATATTCACTGTGGGTTTTTCATAGGTGGATTTTATAAACTGAGGAATGTTACCTCTATCCCTATACTCTGAAGAGTTTTAATCAGGAAAGAATGCTGTATTTTGTCAAATGCTTTTTCTGCATCAATTGAGAGGACCATATGGTTCTTCTCCCTCCTCTTATTAGTGTGTTCTATCACGCTGATTGATTTGCGAATGTTGAACCACTCTTCCATCTCAGGGAAAAATCCCACTTGGTCATGGTACATGATCTTTTTAATGTATTGTTGGATGCTATTAGTTAGGATTTTGTTGAGGATTTTGTAATCCATATTCATCAGGGATATTGATCTGAAATTCTCCTTTTAATGGGGTCTTTGCCTTGTTTGGAGATTAAGGTAATTCTGGCTTCATAGAATGAGTCTGGAAGCTTTCCTTCTCTTTCTATTTTTGGAAACAGCTTCAGGATAATGGGTATTATTACTTCTTTGAATGTTTGGTAGAATTCCCCAGAGAATCCATCAGGCACTGGACTCTTGTTTTCTGGGAGGTTTATGATCACTGCTTCAATCTTGTTGCTGGTTATTGGCCTAGTCAGGTTGTCAGTTTCTTCCTGTTTCAGTCTTGGTAGTTTACAGGTTTCCGGGGAGGCATCCATTTCATCCAGGTTGGTCAGCTTATTGGCATATAGTGGTTGATAATAATTTCTAAGAATTCTTTCTATTTCCTTGGTGTTAGTCGTGATCTCTGCCCTTTCGTTCATAATTTTATTAATTTGGATCCTTTCTCTTTTCTTTTGGATAAGTCTAGCCAGTGGTTTATTGATGTTATTAATTATCTCAAAGAACCAATTTCTAGTTTTGTTGATCTGATCTACTGTGTTTCTGGTTTCTAACTCATTGGTCTCTGCTCTCATCTTAATTATTTCTCTTCTAATGTGTGGCTTAGGTATCGTTTCTTCATTTTCCCTAGTTCTTTAAGGTGTAAAGTTAGATGGTGAATTCAGGATTTTTCTATTTTTTTGAGTGAGGCTTAGATGGCTATGTATTTCCCCCTTAGGACTGCCTTTGCAGTATCTTATAGGTTTTGGACCAATGTGTTTTCATTCTCATTGGTTTCCGTGAATTGTTTAAGTTCTTCTTTGATTTCCTGGTTGACTCAAACATTCTTGAGCAGAGTGATCTTTAACTTCCAAGTGTTTGAATTTCTGCCATTTTTTTTTTCTTGTGATTAAGTTCCAGTTTTAAAGCATTATGGTCTGAGAACATGCAGGGAATAATCTCAGTCTTTTGGTATCAGTTGAGACCTGATTTGTGACCCATTATGTGGTCTATTCTGGAGAAAGTTCCATGTGTGCTCGAGAAGAATGAGTATTCTTTTGTTTTAGGGTGGAATGTTCTGTATATACCTATGAGGTCCATCTAGTCCAGTGTGTCATTCAAATTTGTTTCTTTGTTGATTTTCTGCTTAGATGATCTGTCTATTGCTGAGATTGGAGTACTGAGGTCTCCTACAATTAATGTATAGTTATGAATATGACTCTTTATTTTGCTTAACAGTTGTCTTATGTAGATGGCTGCTTCCATGTTGGGGGCGTAGATATTTACAATTGTTAGATCTTCTTGTTGGATAGACCCTTTAAGAATGATATAGTGTCCTTCTGTGTCTCTAAGTACAGACTTTAGTTTAAAATCTAATTTGTCTGATATAAGAATTGCTACCCCAGCTTTCTTTTGAGGTCTGCTGGAATGGAAGATGGATCTCCATCCCTTTATTTTCAGTCTGGATGTATCTTTAGGTTCAAAATGAATCTCTTGTAGACAGCATATGGATGGGTCCTGTTTTTTTATCCAATTTGCAAACCTGTGCCTTTTTCATGGGAGCATTTAGGCCATTCACGTTGAGAGTGATTATTGAAAGATATGAAATAATTGTCATCATGTTGCCTGTGAAGACGTTGTTTTTATAGATTGTCCCTGTAAATTTCTGTTGTATATCACTCTTGGGGTCTTTCTCCTTTTATAGAATCTCCCTTTAATATTTCTTGCAGGGCCGGCTTAGTCGTCACATATTCTTTCAGTTTCTGCTGGCCTTGGAAGCTCTGCATCTCTCCATCCATTCTAAATGACAGCCTTGCTGGATAAAGTATTCTTGGCTGCATGTTTTCTCGTTTAGTACCCTGAATATGTCTTGCCAGGCTTTTCTGGCTTGCCAGGTCTCTGTGGATAGGTCTGACGTAATTCTGATGTTCCTTCCTCTGTATGCAAGGAATCTCTTCCCCCTAACTGCCCTTAAGATATTTTCCTTGATTCTAAGATTTGCGAATTTTACTATTACATGCTGGGGTGTTGGCCTGTTTTCCTTAATCTCAGGACAGTCCTCTCTGCCTAGAGGACACGAATGTTTGTTTCATTCCCCAGATTAGAGAAGTTCTCAACTACAATTTGCTCAAATATATATCTAGTCCTCTCTCTCTCTCTCTCCACCCCCTCAGGGATTCCAGAATTCTGACACTGGAACGTTTCATGGTGTCACTTATTTCTCTGATTCTATTTTCATGGATTCTGAGTTGTTTTTCCCTGGCCTCCTTTTTTCCCTTTTTATCTATTAAATTGTCCTTCAGGTCAATAATTCGTTCTTCTGCTTCACTTACCCTAGCTCTTAGATTATCTAGATTAGACTGGATCTCATTGATAGCATTTTTAGGTTCTGCCATTTCAGCTCTCATTTCTGCCTTAGACTCTATGTTGCCATGAATTGATTTCTCCATTCTAGCTATTGTTTTCACAATTGCTAGCCTGGATTCCATCTCCGACATCTTGGTTATATCTGAATCCATTTGTGAATCTGTGGCAGATGTCATAATCCTGATTCTTTCTTATTTTGGGGGTTCCTTCTCTTAGTCATTTTGTTGCTGGGTGGTTGAGGGAACGTATAGAGTCTAAATTAATGACCATAACCCAAGGAAGAGGCACCTCTTTTCTAGGGACCTTAGGTTTCTGATATCTTGTTTTCCCAGCCTGTCTTCTGGAGGAAGTGCCTGCCGTGCTGTTCCTTAGGCAACCCTGTTTTAGCCGAGATGCCCTGCCCCTTGTGGCAGGGTTGGGGTCAGTGAAGACCGCTTTTGGGGGCTTTTGTTCTCTGGCTGCTTTCCCTGGTGGCTTTCTGTGTCTCTTCCAAGAGTCAGAGCAGAAGAGACCATTTCCAACCCTCTGCCTCAGAGCAGAGAGATCACAGTCTGTTCTTCAGTGAGCTCTCCAAGCCACACTATCTCCATTTCTCTCTGTGCTGCTAAAAACTGCAGTCCTGGATTGTGCCCCTCAGCAGCACTCCCAGTCCTCACCTCCAGGTCAGGGCACGTCTCTGCCCTTTGTGCTTCTAAAACTGCTAGCTGCCCCCAGTTTGCACACGGAGCCCCACCGCTCCATGTTTCCATCAGGGAGGCTGCCCTAAAGTCCTTTCCCTGCCGCTACCAGTCTGCAAGTCTGTGCCTCGTCCCCAGTGTGGGAGGCTATCACTCACTGGGGGTGTAGGATTCCCATGGCTGGCTCCCTCCCTCTTCTGTTTATCCTCTGATATCTGCCCGCAGAATCACAGCTCCCCTCTTTGTACCTTGAAGCCAACTGCCTGCGATATTCTGTTTGTAGAAATCTAGATCTATGTTCCTACATCTCAGCCTGATTTTGTGGGTGTTCAGAGTGGTCTGGTAGATATCCAGCTCAATTCTGGGGACCGGGTGGAATAGGGTCCCCTACTCTTCTGCCATCTTCCCCCCCCCCCATCAATATGTTTCTTTATTTTAGTTATTAATTGGTTTATATAATTGGCAGCTCCCATGTTGGGGGCATAGATATTTACAATTATTAGATCTTCTTGTTGGATAGACTCTTTAAGTATGATATAGTGTCCTTCTCTACCTCTTACTACAGTCCTTGGTTTAAATGTATGGTGATTAACATAACATAATAAAATAAAAATAGATAAATAAAATCTAATTTGTCTGATATGAGGATCGATACCCCAGCTTTCTTTTGAGGTCCTTTGGCATGGTAAATTTTTCTCCATCTCTTCACTTTCAAACTGGAGGTGTCATTAGGTTCAAAATGAGTCTCTTGTAGATAGCTTATGGATGAGTCCTCCTTTTTTATCCAATCTGAAACCTTGTGTCTTTTTATGGGAGCATTCAGTCCATTTACATTCAGTGTAACTATTGAAAGATATGAATTTAGTATCATTGTATTACATGCAAATTCCCCATTTCTGTAGATTGACTTTGTTTCTTTCTGGTCTATATTACTCTTGGGGTCTCTCTTCACTTACAGAATCCCCCTTAATATTTCTTGATGGTCTGCTTGGTGGTCACATATTCTTTCAGTTTCTGCCTGTCCTGGAATCTCTTTATCTCTCTGAATACAGCTTTGCTGGATAAAGTATTCTTGTCTTGCTGAATGACAGCCTTGCTGGATAAAGTATTCTTGTCTGTATGTTTTTTCATTTAGTACCCAGAATATGTTTTGCTAGCCCTCTCTGGCTTGCCACGTTTCTGTGGCTAGGTCTGATGTTATTCTCATATTCCTCCCTTGATATGTAAGGAACCTTGTTTCCCTAGCTACTCTCAGGATAGTTTCTTTGGCTGTATGATTTGCAAGCTTATCTATTATATGTTGGGGTGATGATCTATTTTTATTGATTTTGGGAAGGATCTCTCTACCTCTTAGACATGAATGCTTGTTTCTTTCTCCAAATTAGTGAAGTTCTCAGCTATGATTTACTCAAATATACTTTCTAGCCCTCTCTCTCATTTACCCTGGCTGTTAGAGTATCCAGTTTAGACTGCATCTCATTCACAGCATTTTAAAGTTCATCCTGATAGTCTCATTTCCGCCCTTACAGATTCTATATTGTCACTAATGCTTTATTCAAGCCTCGCTATTGACTTTATGATTGCTATCCTGAATTCTATCTCTGAATCTTGCTTATATCCATATTGATAATCTCTGTGGCAGAGAACACCCTCTCTGGTTCTTTTTTGTGTGAGTTCCTCCTCCTTGTCATTCTGTCCAGAGAACAATGGGTGGGCGAATGAACAGAGTCCAAAATATCAACCACATCCCAAGCAAGTTGCACCCTAGCAATATCCTGAGTAGTTGGAAGCCACCACAGAAAAACAAAGCCAAAATGAAACACAAGAATAAATTTTTTTTAAAAAAAGGGGGGAAAGGTAAGAGAGATTATAATTTTGCAGTGTGGACTAAGCAGGGTGTTCCACTTGTTCCTGGGTGAATTTTGGTCTGTGTGTTAGAAGACATTACATCCCCAAATTGCAACAAAAGTAAAACTTATGGGATGCCTTGGTGGCTCAGTTGGTTAAGCATCTGCCTTCGGCTCAGGTCATGATCCCAGGGTCCTGTGATCAAGTCCTGCATTGGGCTCCTTGCTCAGCAGGGAGCCTCTTTCTCCCTCTGCCTGCCACTCTCTGTCTCTCTCTGACAAATAAATAAAATCCTTAAAAAGTAAAACTTATATATATGTATGTATATATATATAAAGATAAAATTGAATAGAGTGAAAAAAGGAGTAAAATGAAGCATATATCTATAAAAAAGATAGGTGTGAAAAAATACAAGTTAAAAAGTGACTATGAAATATAAGTTGGTATTATAAGCATCTAGTTGAAATGAGAAAAAAGAAAAAGAAAAAAAAGAGAAAAAGCATAAGAAAAAGAAAAAAAAAAGAAAAGGAGAATTTTATCTGAACAATAAATGAGTCGTGAGGCAACACCTGGAGCTCAATATACTATTTTCCCCCAGCATTGACATTTTACAGTCTTATGGGATCCATAGACTTGTTGTCCACCTGTTCTTCCAGACTGTCTTCTAGGGTAAGGGCCTGCTGCGGTGTTTCTCAGGTATCCCTGCCTGGGCAGAGTTGTCCCACCCCCTGTCAGGGGGATGGGCTCAGTGCAAACTGGTTCTCTGTGTGGCTTTTTTTCCCTGGAGTCTTTCTACACCTCTTCAGAGGATCAGAGCAAAAATGGCTGCACCCAAACCTCTGGCCCAGAGCAGAAAGATCACAGCCTGGCCTCTTTAATAAACGCTCCAGGATAAACAGTCTCCACTTCTGTATGTGCTGAAAACTGCAGCCTCCCACGGCATGCACCCACTTCAACTCTCTCAGAGGTAGTCCCAGGGGCCAGGGAATGCCACTGACCTTTTTGAGTCTAAAACCATGAGTGGCCATGGGGTCTCGTGCACACACTTGAAGCTCCTGGATCATGTCTAGGTGCCACTCTAATGTCCTTTCTGGGCTGCTACTGCCCTGCGAGTTTTAGCACAGTCAGGCGCAGGTTCCAGACTTTTTCAGGCTGCTCAGGAAAAGAGCAATTATTGACCAGCCCAGCTCAGTTTATGGTGATCCAAGCTGAGAATCCCTTCCTGGGCTCACTGACCATAATCTGCTTTCTGGTTCCACTGCTCAGGCACTCTACCGGTTCAGGCACTCCTGTTCGCTCTGTGACTCTTCAGATCCTGAGACCACAGTGCCATGCCCTACCTAGAATTCTGCCTTTTCATTTCCAGAGCCCCTTTCAGAGAGAGATTTCTCTCACTAGAGCAGATTTCTAAGGGTTCTGATTTTGAGCTCTGGTGTTATATCACTTTCCAGGAGCCAGCTTATGGAGGTTCCCCCCTCTTCTGTTTACTTCCAATATCTCCCTACAGATTCATGATTACACACATCCTACCTTGCAAAAAGCAGTAGCTTTTCTGCTTGTAGAAATCCAGATATATATATTCTTACATCTCAGGCTGATTTCATGGGTGTTCAAAATGTTTTGATAGATATCGAGCTAAATTCAGGGGATTAGTTGAAATGGGGTCCCCTACTCCTCTGACATCTTGCCTCCCTCCCCTGATATGTGGAATTTAAGAAAGAAAGCAGAGTATCATAGGGGAAGAGAGGAAAAAAATGAAACAAGATGATACCAGAGAGGGAGACAAAACATAAGAGACTCTTGAACTTAGGAAACAAAATGAGGGCTGCTGGAATGGAGGGGGGCATAAAACAAGGTCCCTGCCCTCCAGAACAATGGGATAATCAAATGAAAAACTTGCTGGTCTAAGGCTTCTTACTTTTGTTCTGATTGTGTACAGTCTAAGATTCCAGTGAGTTCATCAAGCAATGATAGACTCAGTAGGAAACGGGCTCCTGATCATTGGGAATTTTTTAAAAAAGATTTCTTTACTTCTTTGAGAGAGAGAGCAGGGGGAGGGGAACAGAGGGTGAGAATCTCAGTCACACTCCTTGCTGAGTGCAGAGCCTGATGCAGGGCTTGATCTCACAACCCTGATTTCATGACCTGAGCCGAAACCAAGAGTCAGATGTTTAACTGACTGAGCCAACCAGGTGCCCCAAACATTCAGAATTTTTAAGCCAAACTGAATGACAACTCATTTTAGAAACGAAAGGAAGTTTTTATTTTGATGAAACCCCAACAGTTTACTTTTGTTTTTGAAAAAAAAAAAAAAGAAATGGAAGAAAGGATTCCTAAAGATCTCTGACATGAAATTTAAAAAATTATATGAGAAAGTATGGAATAAAGTATGAAGGCACTCTTGGTTATGTATTTACTATTGTTCTATAGCAAATCACCACATATTTAGTGTCTTAAAATAACACCAACTTATTTATTTTTAGTTCAAGAGGTCAGAATTCTAAAATCAATGTGCTGACAAGACTGTGTTGTTTCTGCAGGCTTCGGGAGAGAATCTGTTTCCTTACCATTTTCAGTTTCAGAGCCTTCCCACATTCCTTAGCTAA